ATTGATAGTTTCATGATCTAGATCGAAGATGGGTTGAATCCAAAAATAGAGCAACAAATATTATATTGTTGCTGCAAATCACAAAACTAATTATTTTGTGATGATGCATGCCTTTGTTTTTATTGTTTTACCTTCAATGTACATCCTTCTTTGTGAGCTCTCTTGGCAACTGCTGCAGCATTGTCATAGCCTATTTTCTAGTAAAGGAAACAAGGATTGGAGAAATTAGCATTTAGGTAATAAATGGATGACTTGACAAAGAAGTTAACTATTATTATTTGGAAACTTACAGGGTTCAATGATGTCACAAGCATAGGAGACTACAAATAAATGCATAGAACGAGGAATTAGTTCTAATAGATAGACTATATATAGATCATTCCTGCCCACACATGGATAATTTTATGATTAAATAAAACGTACAAGAAGAAGCTTACCTCATGCAATAGCCTTGAGATCCTTTCTCTGTTGGCCTCAATGCCTCTCACACAGTTTTTCTCAAACGAAGCTGAAGCATCTGCTAGTAATCTGATGGACTGTGGACGGACGCAAGATCAAATGGTTAAGATTGACATATATGTTTATATGTAACAAAAGAAAAGAGATGCATAACAATGAAAGAGTATAAGTACATGTAAGAGAGCACTTGCTATCACCGGCTTGAATACATTCAATTCAAAATGACCGTTTGATCCACCAATCGTCACAGCTACATGGTTTCCCATAACCTGCATGCAATATAATGATGCAACCCATTGAGTCAGGAACAAGACAGCCTTAGTCCTATATATATATAAGTCAGCCTTAGTCCTATATTCATAAGTCAATAAGAATATATTGAGAAAAATAATGGAACTTACTTGAGTACAAACCATAGTCATGGCCTCACATTGTGTAGGATTTACTTTTCCCTGAGAGAGAGAATCAAGATGAATGAATAGGAAAAGGTATTGACAAAGCATAGAAGACCAAAGGAACATTGCATCCATACAGGCATGATACTGCTTCCAGGTCAGGCAGAGATAGTTCACCAAGACCACATCTTGGGCCACTATATGAACATATGAACAATAAACATAAGATAGAAGGATAGAAATATGACACACTTTTAACGAGAGAAAGAGAAAAGAACCTAGAAACGTACCTTCCAAGTAAACGTATATCATTAGCGATTTTCATCAACGATGTTGCGATTGTGTTAAGAGATCCACTGGTTTCAACACAAGCATCGTGTGCAGCCTGTGAAAAATTATAATAACGTAACAACCGATTTCACATATATATATATATATATATATATCATTTAAAGAATGAAAGTATAGTTAGCAACCCTAAGCAAGAGGTAGGGATGAGTTTGGAAATGGATGATGTTGATGAAGGTGGTTTAGAGGCTAACCGGAGCTTCGAACTTGTTTTCAGCAGTGACAAATGGCAAGTTTGTTTCTTCAGCTATTGCAGCAGCTATCTTTACATCAAACCTATTCAAATAGTACTAGTGTTACCAACAGTGGACTAAAAATATATGAACTTGGGATGGGCATAAAATTATAAATGAGATATATATACCCTTTCTTAGTGTTTAATCCAGTCCCAACAGCAGTTCCACCTTGGGCAAGCTGTCCAAATATGTTTAACATGTTAAGAGCTTGATAAGCATTTGGAGAAGTACATGAGACATGGATCTTCCAAAAAAACTATATCTAAACCTGATAGATGTAGGGTAGAGTACATGCGACTCTATGTAGTCCATACTTAACCTAGAATCATGAGATTGAAAATTTAAAAGATTATTCTAGATATATGGCATTTGATTTTCACTTTTGTTAGACAATGACATAAAACATAACAAAGATTTACTTGAGTAGCATAGCCGCCGAATTCTTGTCCTAGTGTCAGAGGTGTAGCATCTTGAGTGTGAGTTCTTCCAATTTTTACGATATCTTTGAACTCCAATGACTGCCAGAAATCGAACAAGTTTTAACAAAGTCCAAATGCATAGCAAAATAGACTATGAAGTCATGATGCATATGTAACATAAATGTGACGACTGACAAAGGACTGTATTGTATATAGGTTTAGAAATGATGGATCAATAACAAAGTATCTCTCAAATATATATAGTAGTTCCACAATGAACTCATGAGATAAGAATCGCTTCATATATGACACCATTTAGGTCAGATCAAAGTTTCATGTTAAAATAGTAGTGCATGTGTTGCAATTTAGGGACTAGATCAACAGTGTCACTTGAGAAAAGAATCCGACCTTGGATTCCAAAGTGCCATGCAACATTTTCAAACTAGGGATCAGCCTCGACGTAATCTCGGTTGCAACTGCAATGTGCATGACCTAGACAAAACCAAAATAATGTGACCGTTCGTTAGTAGATGGTAAGCTAGCTACATATATTGCGCATGCAAAATTATTGATAATATTGATGATGCAAAACGTTACCGTAGGAAAAGTGTCATTAGAAGATTGTGATCTGTTGACATGGTCATTTGGGTGCACAATCTTTTCACCTCGTTTGTGGCCAAGAATCTCAGCTGTTCTATTTGCAATGACCTGTGAAGAGAAAAAAAAACACACACAATTCTTCATTATTATTTCGGTTTTCCAAAAAATAATGATGACTGATAAGAAAATAAAATTAGGAGAAGACTAAAAATTATCTGTAGAGGAAATTGTATTATATATTTGTTTTTGCACTAGAGCTGGAATAAAAAAGAATTTTGTTTTTTTTGTAATGGACTGTACTTAAAATAGATAAAGTTATTTTCTAGATATGTATGTATAATAACTAAATTATTTATTCCTAGTTAGCCATTCTCTAATTCATTCTCTAATGCAAATATATCAAAACGAATTTTATACATATTGGTGAGGAGACAATATAATATAATTGGCGTCGGTGAGTACTTATTTTCATTAATTGATTTTATTTCCATTAATTAGATATTTTGATTAGATTTGGTTAGTCTACTCTTTAGTGTGTTTGGTAATCAATTATTTAAAGACCAAACAATATAATATTAGAGAAGGAAAGGTCAATGTTTGTAAACAATTAATCAATTATTTAAGACTAAACAAAATAATAGTATTAAAGAAGGAAAGGTCAATGTTTAAATAAAAAAAAAAAATGACCTTTTTGGTCCAGTATCCTTTGTGAGAAATTCATAGCCAAATAAAAAAATAATAAATAATAAATTTAAAAAAAAAAAAAACAAATGCGGTAGAAGAAATGAAGCCATTAGATATGGTTAATTTTAAACTATGCATCTATTTTCTAAGATAAAAATATGTATCAGGTCGATATAATATTTTGCCTCTAATCAAAAGTTTTTAGATCCGCCACTCGTAGCACTTGTATGAGATCATACAATATAATACAAAACAACAAACATATGTGTATATCTCCGACACTACTACGTACACAAAAGTTACCTCATTAGCATTCATATTAGTCTGAGTACCACTACCAGTTTGCCATACAACAAGTGGGAAATGTTCATTGAGCTTTCCCTCGGCTACTTCTTGTGCAGCTTCCATTATCGCTTCCCCGATCGTTGGATCAAGACCATACTCCATGTTAACCTAAATTCTTAACGTCAACTCATGAACCAAAACGAAGAAGCGCAAGTTTACACGTATAGAGACATTAGTGCAAAAACCTTGGCAGCACATTTCTTCAAAACGCCAAAAGCTCGGATGATGGGTTCGGGGACTCTCTCGCGGTCTCCTCCTATATCAAAGTTCTGAAGCGATCTCTGCGTCTGAGCTCCCCATAATCTGATAAAGAAACAACCAAAAGAATGTGAGAACAATGTTGTACACTTGACGGATCAGAATATTTCCGTAAAAGATCGGATTCCGAACTTATCGGAGGGAACTTGGATCGGTCCAAAGGTGTCCCTCTCCTCCCTAAACGACGTTGAATCATATCTACGTTGTTGTTCATCTTCTTGCTTTAGGGTTTCGTGTTTCTTCTCTCCTTCAAACTGCATTATCAAAGTAGTTATGGCTAATACTATTACAAATGCAACTTTGGGCCTCTTAATTAAGAACGTGTAACTTTTTTTTATCTTAATAATCATCTAATATTTATTGACATTTTCTTTGTTCGTCGTGGCTTATTATGGTTGGATATTAATGTCTTTGTCTAGTGACGAAGTAGCAATGGGCTAGTCATGAAACTGAAGAGACAAGTTTCGTTTTCTTAAAATGTAAAAAACAATTCGAAAACGTTTCGATTTATTTGTATAACTAATTCCAGCACTAAATACTTACCAATCACAAGAAACCACGACAAAATATATTATTCCGACCATTATCTACACGTGCATCGACCAAATATGTGGGAACCAATGATTTGTCGCAAATGCCACCTGAGAGAGAGAGAGAGAGAGAGAGAGGGTGGGTCATGTGACGACCCCCACAAAATAATTAGGTTTTCTAATTGATAAAATGATATCTGTAGAATTGTATTTGCATGTGACTAATTATTATGGTTAACCGATTGGTTTTTTACACACTATATGTCTTGCCATCATAATCATATAGCTGTATTCATATGGTATTATTTTAATCTTCCACTTCAATCATTTCGTGTGAACTAGTGACTATTATTAGTTTGTTCTAAATGTATTTATATATATCTTGACGTTATATTGCAACTAGGTACAAGGAGAGACAAGAAAGAGGAAAAATAAAAGAAGACGAAAAAAATAAAGCAAGAGGGATGGCTTATTGGATAATGATTCATCGAGCGCCAATGATTTTAAAAGTATCAACATTAAGATTTTTTTTTTTCAGTTTAATCCATACCATTGTCTATGTAATGCATATGTATCTGGTCATATATAGGAATGGAACGGGTAATGAACATTTATAATGATACTTTTGTCACACGAAAATAAAGTTTTCAAACACACTCAATTTGTAAAACGGAGAGAATACATCGATTTGTAAATTATTGAAGCTTTTGGCTCTATTATAATGTTTTAATCAGATGGACCAATCATCTTCTCGGGAACAACAAGAGTATCAAACTCTTCTGAAGTAAGAACACCTAGATTCATAGCTGCAACCTGTTTATTAAATTAAAGCTTGATTAGGAATCTTTATAGATTTTTTTTTTTCATGATATGAATTGAATTTAAACTAGAGCAACAACAAACATGTTGCTACTTACTAACAAGGTGATTGGTACAAACAAAAACTTGTTTTCTCTTGCTGCAAATAAATTTATTTACGTTGATAGTTTATTGATTTACCTTCAATGTACATCCTTCTTTGTGAGCTCTCTTGGCAACTGCTGCAGCCTTGTCGTAGCCGATTTTCTAATAAAAGAGACAATATATGATTCCAAAATGTAGTATTGAGGAGTATATAAATATTCATATTGTAATAAAAATGTAAGAAAATGGATGACTTGACAAAGAAGTTAAATATTTGGAGAGACTTACAGGGTTCAATGATGTCACAAGCATAAGAGACTACAAAGAATAGAATAAAGAATCATTTTCATACTAGGTCATTTCCACACTTCAAATAATTTTAAGACGAATAAAACAAGAAGAAGCCTATCTTATTACCTCATGTAATAGCTTTGAGATCCTTTCTCTGTTAGCCTTAATGCCTCTCACACAGTTTTTCTCAAACGAAGCTGAAGCATCTGCTATCAATCTGATGGACTGTGCATGAATGGGCGCAAGATCAAATGGTTAAGATTGACATATTTTTATATAGGATGTAATAAAAAGATGTACAAAATGAAAGAGATTAATGTACATGTAAGAGAGCGCTTGCGATAACCGGCTTGAAAACATTCAATTCAAAATGGCCGTTTGATCCACCAATCGTCACAGCTACATGGTTTCCCATAACCTGCATGCAATATAATGATGCAATCCAAAGAGTCAGGAACAAGACAGCCTTAGTCCTATATAAGTCAATAAGAATATATTGAGAAAAATAATGGAACTTACTTGAGCACAAACCATAGTCATGGCCTCACATTGTGTAGGATTTACTTTTCCCTGAGAGAGAGAATCAAGATGAATGAATAGGAAAAGGTATTGACAAAGCATAGAAGACTAAAGAAACATTGCATCCATACAGGCATGATACTGCTTCCAGGCTCATTTTCAGGCAGAGAAAGTTCACCTAGACCACATCTTGGGCCACTATATGAAGACATGATAAAGAACATAAGAGAACATGATACACCTTGAAGAATGAGAGAATAAAAAATTAGATGCGTGCCTTCCAAGAAAACGTATATCATTAGCTATTTTCATCAATGATGTTGCGATTGTGTTAAGAGATCCACTGGTTTCAACACAAGCATCATGTGCAGCCTGACAAAAAAAAAAAAAAAACAGAATAACTTAACTTAGCAACTGAATTCATGTATATGAACCGTTCATAGGCATCTTGTATGGACGTAAATGATGAAGGTGATTTAGAGGCTAACCAAAGCTTCAAACTTGTTTTCAGCAGTGACGAATGGCAAGTTTGTTTCTTCAGCTACTGCAGCAGCTATCTTTACATCAAACCTGTACATATCGTATACTAGCTAGTGTTACCAATAGTGGACTAAGAGGAGATGAACTAATTGGGATGTTTAGAAATGAAATGAGTTATATACATACCCTTTCTTAGTATTTAATCCTGTCCCAACAGCAGTTCCACCTTGAGCAAGCTGGCCAAATATGTTTAGCAAGTTAGAACTCAATAAGCATTTGGAGAAGTACCCTCTAAAAATATCATTTCCAAACCTGATAGATGCGAGGTAGGGTACATGCAACTCTATTAATTCCATACTTAACCTACAATCATGGCATCCAAACAAAAATTTAGATGGCTTGTGTGATTTTCATGTTTGTTTCGCAAGCTAGCTCAGAAAACAGAGCAAATCATTTACTTGAGTAGCATAACCGCTAAATTCTTGTCCAAGCGTCAACGGTGTAGCATCTTGAGTATGTGTTCTTCCAATTTTCACAATATCTTTGAACTCAAATGACTGCCATAATACAGAGTACTGTAATTAGATGTGGTAAGTTTAAATATAAAGTCAGAATTCAGACAGAGCAAATAGACTATAAAGTTTGAGTGCATTTGCAAAAATAATAAGATGTTGCAATATAGGGACTAGATCAAGTGTGTCACTTGAGAAGGAGAGGTAAAAAGATCCGACCTTAGACTCCAAAGTGCTAAGCAAATTTTTCAAACTAGGGATCAGCCTCGAATTAATCTCGGTTGCAGCAGCAATGTGCATAACCTAGACAAAACCAAAACAATACAACATGACTATTATTAGTACCTGACAGAGCAGTGAGGATACATATTATAAGAATGAAAAGCATTAATTGGTTTTTTCGTAAACAAACAAATAATGACTGTTACGCATGCAAAATTATTGGTAATATATTTTTTTTTTGAATCTGAAATTATTGGTAATATTGAGGATGCAAATACTAAAGCTTACCGTGGGAAAAGTGTCATTAGAAGATTGTGATCTGTTGACATGGTCATTTGGGTGCACAATCTTTTCACCTCGTTCGTGACCAAGAATCTCAGCTGCTCTATTAGCAATTACCTGTGAAGAGCAAAACACACAATGCTTTATTACCTCATTACAAACCTTTTAATATGTCATAGTTTTTTTTTCCTTAATTATTTCGGTTTTCCAAAAATTAATGATGACAAAATAGAGGAAAATTAGAACTATGAGAAGAAACAGATTTCAAATAAAATGACTTTTCTGGTCCAATTTCTTTTGTGTATATTTTTTTATGAGAAATTCATAGCCAATAAAAATTAAAAATAAGTGCTGTATAAGAAATGAAGCCGTTAGATATTGTTATATTTTAAACTACAATATATGTTTCCTATGATAAATATTTTGCCTGAGGTCAAAAGTTTTTATATCAGAGTAATATGTTGCACTTGTATGAGATCATACAAAACAACAAACATGTATAATCTCCGACACTACGTACGTACGTACACACAAATTACCTCATTAGCATTCATATTACTCTGAGTGCCACTACCAGTTTGCCATACAACAAGTGGGAAATGATCATTGAGCTTTCCTTCTGCTACTTCTTGTGCAGCTTGCATTATAGCTTCCCCGATCGTTGGATCAAGACCATACTCCATGTTAACCTGAAACATCGATCGTATAAACTCACGAGCCAAAACGAGAGAAAGCAAATTTACACATACTGTATAGAGACTATAGTGCAAACAAAAAAAACCTTGGCAGCACATTTCTTCAAGACACCAAAAGCACGGATGATTGGTTCAGGCATCCTCTCGCGATCGCCTCCTATTTCGAAGTTCTGAAGCGATCTCTGCGTCTGAGCTCCCCATAATCTAAAACAGAACAACAACAATAACAATGTGATCAAAACGTTAACCCTCAAGGTCAGAACGATATATATAATAAAGATCAGATCTCGAACTTGTCCGAAGGAACTTGGATCGGCCCGAAGGTGTCTCTCTCTTCCCTGAACGACGTCGAATAAGATAGCCCTTGTTGTTGATCCTCTTGCTTGAGGGTTACGTCTACAACTTGACATGCGTTTTTTTTCTCTCTTTCAAACTGCATTATCAAAGATGCCATATGGCTACAATTGCTAGATAGTAACTTCGGTGTAATTTATTTTCTCTTAATCATATCATTCATATTTATTGACAATTTCTTGGTTCTACAATGTCTTTGTCTAATGGTGGAGCACGGGGCTAGTGATGAAACTGAAGAGACAAGTTTCATTTTCTAGTATAGTATATTATTATGTTCTTCTTCGACATTTTAATATCAACCAACCAGGATAGGCCACATCAGATTATATTCATCAACTTATTTACACGTATATAATTTTGTAGAGCCACCTGAGAAAAAAGTGTGGGTCTATAAAAAATCTATAAAAGCTTGTTTGCATGTGATTATTGTTAGGGAACTGATTGAAATTTCTAAGTATTTTTTCCCCATGCAATATCTTCCATCATCATATATAAAGCTGTATAAAATATTATTAATTTTTCATTCAATTATTTTGTGTGAACTGATTGAAATGATCTCTTGCTATATTTGTTCGAATAATTTTGGTTACAATACTCTTTAAGCAATTATAATATTGCAACAATATACATTTACATTTCCATGGCTCCGATCCTTTTATATTGTCTCTAGCTATAATGCATCTGGTCATATATATACTTAAGGTTAACAATAAAATATTGAACGATGAGATCGTGGTATATATGAGCAAATAGAGTATGATGTTTATATACCTACGTACGTACACAAACCCCAAAACACTTGTTGGGACTATTTGATTGTAAATTTGTAACAAATAAAGTTCTTAATTAAGATCTTCCCAATCTCTCAACTGAACCTCACGAGCCATATCTACTTTTTTTCATTTTTTTTTTCTCTTACGAAACAAATAAAAATATCCACTTGGTATGTCTCCCAATACGTAGGACGTAGCGTAACTGGTCTAGACGTTGAGTTACTAGATTTTCGTTTCTTTTTCTTTTAATATAAACACGTGATTTTTTTTTTGAATGAATGTGAAAATATATTCGAAACAAAAAAAATGTCTTTTTTACAATGAATGCTTTCTTGGATGAAAAGAGAGCAAAAATAAAACTGAAAAGTGAAAGCAGAGCTTAAAATCCTAGAAAAATACAGAGAAGGAGACTCAAAATTATAACTTTCTCTCTTGATTTTTCATTACATCATATTGAGCTATATATAGCAAAAGCTATCATTTACAGAGATTGGATTGATTGATGACAAGTGTCATCATCTGCAAAGGATTGGAGATACAAGGACATTAAATCTATTCTTCACTTGGAGCTTAGTGTGAGCTGGATTCAGTCTCTTGACTGTACGGAGCTGAGCACATGAAGTGAATGACTCTCCTCTGTTATTATTATGATGAGTTGCAGGTTTGGTTGCAGGTTTGGTGTTTAAAGCTGTGATGGGCTTTACTTGACTAGTGGACCTTCCTCTTGTTTCCCGTTGGGCCAAGGCTTTAGTGAGTTTTGGTGTGACCTCCTTTACAAAAAGGTGTTAAAAAAGAATTAGAGAAATAGAAGATTAGCTACGAGTAGCTAACCAAATCTGGAGCTTGTCACCAAACTTTGTTGTGTTGCCTTGTATTGAAAGGAGTTTATTACGGACCATGTGCATTAACTACAATATTATAACAAAGTACATCTCTCTACTTAAATCTCTTGCACTAAGTGTTGATACTCAGCTACTTGGAGCCTTGGAGGGTTCCTATATGTGTGAATTGTGATTGTCCCAGCTCAACTTCGATAACCCATGCTGCTCCAAGCTAGTTGTTCTTTAAGCTCCTTTCATATTCATATATATATTCACAAAAATCATTTTAAGGCTCAATTTTCAAATAGAATTGGTTTTTTTAATTTCTTTATTTTGTGCATATATACTTCTTCCACATCAGCAATGAATAACAACCAACCATAATAGTCGTCAATATGTAGACCACTTCAAATTTATCATTCAAAACTACCCTTATCCTCATGACTTGCATTATATTACACATTACAAACAATTGCGTGTGATGAGAGAATTGAGAACCAATGAATTTGATGCCTGCCACTTGCCATCCTCAACCTGATCATGAGAGTGGGTGGGTCACGTGACCCCTTCCAAAATCTATTGATGTTAACAATTATTGTTGTGAAAACTGATTGGAATCTCTTAAATTATTTGTCCTCTCCATTATAATCATATAACTCTTTATTCAAAGTATTATTTTATATTCGAATTTTGTTTTCCTGTATAGCAATGGTTATTTATGTGTCTAAATGTTACAAAATAAATACTCAAAACAACCAAATTTGCACATTAAGGTATATATTTCAAACAAACAAAATAATAATAATAATATAAAAAAAATCATACATCACAAAATGCTTAACTGAAACTGTTTTGTTATATATATATATTTTTTTTCTACACGAAAATCTAGGGAATTTTGACCAAATTATAGTTCCCTGATCAGTTTAAACTTTTATCTTCCATATGTCCTTCTGATACAACCAATACTAGCTAGCTTGTAAATGTACACTGTTTTTTTTCCTTTTTTGGGTGCAAATCTTGTAAATGTCTAAAAATTGAAAATTATGTCTTTTCACTGGAAACAAAATCTGCTAGATAAGTCTTTGGTCACCCATATCATATAATATATCATGTAATGGGGTAAAATAGCAAGAACCCTCTCTCTCGCTTTTAGCTCATCCATATGTAAAAGCAAGTTGCTGTCAAAATCAAAATCAAAATGATCTTGTAATTTCTTTTTGACAACCTTAAAAACTCAAAATGGTCGTAGTAGACTCGTAGTGCATGTCCGATAGACATCACATGACTACCGGGACCTCAATTATTATAGCGTAATATATAATTAATTTTATCTATAAAGGCATGTTAAAAGATTCACATTACATGCTTAATTAACAATTTCAAGAACGATTCGAAAGGCCACATTACATGCTTAATCTACAACTAACATTAATATAATTATACAAAGACTTCCACAAACATTGCAATATCAATCGTTGGAAACCAAAACTTTATATAAGCTTGATGGTAATCTTCTAGGCTGAAGAATACATATCAAAACTCAAACGGTTAACATGTGCGTGATCGGAAAACACAGTAATGATGTTCTAGAGAACACTGAATATTCATGTTTTCTTCCTGGGCTAAGTCACGACTACATTGTCAACAAAAGTGGTCCACAATTAAGTTGGAGTGAAAACAAAGATCGATAATTATCGTTATAAGATTCCAAAATCACAATAATTCGAATAGAGAAACATACATAGATGCAGACAGGTACATGCAACTATAGAGCCATGTTATGGTTTATATTTTTCTTTCTCCTTGCTCGAAAGTCCTTCCTTACTATGAGATCCGACAAAATAATTCAAATATAACAAAAATTCAACCACTAATTCAAAAATATTCAATATCCTACCACATTTGTTTTCTTAATTCATATACGGTTTTTATTGACAAAACTCCTATTGATAAAGCTTATACACGATTTTTAAAGTATATGTATATATCTAACCTTCAATTAAACACATATACCATATAGATGCATTAGTCACACCCATCCTAGCTTCTTACAAGCACCAGTAATTCAGTATCCCACTTCATCCAAATTGACCACATTTTGTTGAGCCCTAGAGTTTTATTGAACAATAATTCAGATAAGATAAATCAAAATCGTAAAGGGTAAGGGAAATTTAGTTGTTGATGAAAGTACTTTTAAATTCTAACTCCACTTGTTATAAGGTGTTGCTGATCAGCTCCTGTAATGGTTGACAAAAACTATGAAAGTAATTAAGTGGTATGCCGAGTCCAAAACTTCAATTATAGGAGAGAAAGGAAAAACATAGAAAAATAAATGTATGGAACAGTGATGCTTTTGGATATGTTAATTTTTTACATATACAATGTGATGATTTTGTTAAATTTATACAACTCCGAGCAACCAGCAATGGTGCAGAACATTTATATATGTTGAAAGTTGCCTTTATATATTTTAGTTTTAAATATTTTAGGTGAACAATAGGCCCAAACCCCAGTTTTACAAGAATTAAAGAAATTTTCTCAAATCTTTTATTAAAACTTGTCAAATTTTTCTGCCATTGTTTAATTTTGGAAAAAAGCTCGCTTAGAACGCAACCAGGTGAATTTGTAAACTAAAACCATATATATATACATGGAACACCGAACACTAGAAGTTAATAAACCATTAGAATTAGAGTTTGGTCATCAAACCACACAAGCAAAAACACGTGTTGTGTTCTTGGTCATCATCATATACATATGGAGACGAGTTCAACGACATGGGATGTAAACTATTTCTCTAAGAAGCAAACACTCGATTCCACATGTTTTGCATCGCTTTCAATAAAGTTCCGAGGGATCGAGCGGTGTATTATCCAGGACCGTAACGGTCGTGTAATCCTAGTTAAACGAAAAGTCGTACAAGAGAAAGAAGTCGAATCTGTGATCCCATCTTTTTTCCTTGCTGGAGAAGAAACATGCAATAAATATGTGGCTAACGTGTTGTCCAAGGCAAGGATATGCAGCTGGATTCAGCATCGCATCGTTACTAAAATCTCCAAAGACGCGATTTACATGAGCCACCTACTTGGAGAAGAAGAAGAAGAATATGGTTTCTCTATTGAAGCTGAAGTCGAAGTTGTAAAGGAGATTGTGGTACTAAGCTTCAATGATGATAATGAGCTGGAGGGTCATCGTCACGACGACTGCTGCACAATCTGTATAGAAGAGTTGTTGTGGGATGGTACTGGTGAGAGGAAGAAGATCATGACGTTGCGTTGTTCCCACAAATTTCACGAGGATTGTATTCTCAAGTGGCTGGATCGCAAGGACACATGTCCTATTTGTCGAGAAAATATATTGTCTTCATGAGAAGTTTATTGTAGAAAGATATATATGAACAAACCGATTGAATAAATTATACACATCTCAGAAGGACTGATGAAACCAACACAAAGAATACATTCCTTTTATTTCAGGAAATATAACACAAGTTATAGATAATGTATATAAGACCAAAAGACTAATAGTAACGGATTAAACTTGCAAATATAATATCAGTTCATGAACAACTTCTTCATATCCTTGGAGAGGTTGCTGCATCACAACGTGAGATATTGTTCAGACTCAAGGACTTTGATTGGTAAGAGCAGCTTCACAATCTTTCTGATCAGAAGATGGTTTCTTAGTTTCCTCTTCCATAGTTTCATCATGATTGTCCTAAAAGTATAGTAACCAATAGTCTTTGAGACCCAAGAAAAAAAAAAACAGAACAGTAGAGAGTATACAAGAAGAAGAAATTTAAGATAATTATGACAACCTCTGCTAGAACAGAGTCGATAAGCTGTTGAGTAAACTCAATCTGTAATACAGTTCCTGTTAGTTCCACTTGTCTTAGTGAAGACTTCAAGTCAACCGTTGAGTCTTTCAAAATACGGATTCGAGCACAAAGGTTGTGCTGAAGAAACCTTAAAGTAGCCACAGCACCAGCCAGTAGAGCTACCTGCAGAGTAAATACCAGTAGGTGTGATAATACTCAAACAAGAGTCAAAAACTGTAAAATCAAACCTGTAAACATGGGACTTGAATAATGCGAGTGGCTTCAGCATCATGTTTATTTCCACCATCCACTTGGCTACTTTCATGACCACCAATCTCTTCGAGATGATCAGGAGATGTAGGGCTGTAAATAGGTGAGGTAGGGTTGTAGCTAGGAGAGGTATGGCTGTAAGTGATAACCTTGAAGGTTATCGTTGAGAAAAACAGAGAAGGTTGAGAAGAGAAGACTTAGATTGATAGAAGAAAGGAAAGGAGAAAAGAGATTTGTTTTTGTGTTGATGTCTTTGCATAAGGAAACCCTAACATTTGGGGATCCAATAAATACTGAACAGTAGCAATTGAAACGACATAGTTTAATATAAGTCTTCTATTCTCTGTTTAACTCCCGTAAACGACACTTAGCCACTTACAATCTTCTTAACCATCCTTCTGCTACTGCGACCTGACCTCGTGCCCTTCTTCACATAAGCCAGCGGGACACAGAGCCTATCAATACCCCCTCGTAAAGAAGTCACCTTGTCCTCAAGGTGAAAACCTGGAAATTGATCAGCCAAGCGATCCATCGGCTCCCATGTATCTTCAAAAGAGGGTAACCCTTTCCAATGGACCAACACTTCAGGTTCAGCTCCTTTCTCAGACCTGCGGATATCCAATATCTCTTCTGGTTCAGTACCCCACTCCATCTCAGCTGTCAATACCTCTGGAATATCCTGCACCTTTTCTCCACTAGGCACTGCCTTCTTCAACTGAGAAACATGAAAAACTGGGTGTATGCGGCTGTGCTCGGGTAACTGCAGCTTGTAAGCTACCTGTCCAATCTTTTGCAACACTTCATATGGCCCAAAGTAACGTGGTGCTAGCTTCTCATTCCTCCTTTTAGCGACTGAGGCTTGTCTGTAAGGTCTCAGCTTCAAATAAACCTTCTCCCCAACCTCAAACTGAACTTCCCTTCTATGTTTATTAGCCATAGTAACCATCCTCCTCTGAGCTGCTTCCATGTTACAACGCAACTCTTCCAACAAGTCATTCCTCTGCTTAAGCATGTCTTCCACCTGGGCATTAACAGTGGGAATGTCATCAAACCTCAATAGTTTCGGCGGCTCCCTTCCATACACTGCCTGAAATGGGGTCATCTTAATCGCAGAGTGATAAGAAGTGTTATACCACAACTCTGCCCAGGGCAGCCATTGAGTCCAACTGGTTGGCTTTCCCCCAACAAAGCATCTTAAGTAAGTCTCAACACACCTGTTCAGCACCTCGGTTTGCCCGTCGGTCTGCGGGTGATAAGCAGTACTTTTGTGCAGCTCTGTTCCTTGTGTTCTGAATAACTCTGACCAGAAATGACTGATAAACACCTTGTCCCTGTCTGACACCATAGTTTCAGGAAACCCATGCAACTTCACAATCTCCTTCATAAAAAGCTCAGCTACTGATTTTGCAGTGAAAGGATGTTTTAGGGACAGAAAATGGCCATACTTGCTCAGTCTGTCAACTACTACCAAGATGACGTCAAACCCCTTTGATATAGGCAGCCCTTCCACAAAATCTAAGCTAATATCTGCCCAAATCTGCTTGGGAATGGGTAGAGGAGACAATAAACCAGCAGGCGATAAGGTGGAGTACTTACTGGTTTGGCATACTTCACAGTGTACAATGTAGTCTTCTACATCTTTTCTCATCCCCTTCCAGTATACTTCCCTAGCCAACCTCTTATAGGTCTTCAGCACCCCCTCATGGCCTCCCATCAAGCTATCATGGAACTGTTTAATCAAAGAGCCTGCCAATGGAGAACCTCTTGGAATTACCAACCTCTCATCCTTGTATAAAACTCCTCCTTTCCATGTGTAACCTGACTGCATCAAACTTCCCTCCTTTAACTGCTTGATGATACTTAAACAGCCTGGATCTCCTAACACTTGCTGCTTTACGACTTCGATATCCAAGGAAACAGGGGCGTTTACCTGTAAGGCCATCAACTCTTCATGTGGTCTCCTTGACAGGGCGTCTGCAACTCGATTCTCGGAACCCGGTTTGTATTCAATCGTGTAATCCAGCCCCCAACAACTTAGATGCCCACTTCAGTTGATCCCCTGAGACAGCTCTCTGATCCAAAAGATGTTTGAGACTTTTCTGGTCCGTTTTTATCACAAAAGGTCTCCCGGTAACGTAATGCTTCCACTTAGTAACAGCAAACACAATGGCTAGCAACTCCCTCTCATATACTGACTTAACTCTTCCTTTAGCAGAGAACCCGTGACTTATGTAAGCAATGGGTCTCTTCCCTTGAGACAATACTGCACCAATCCCTACTCCTGATGCATCAGTCTCTATGACAAAAGGCTTCTCAAAATATGGCAAGGACAAAAGTAGCATCTGAGTTACCGCTTCTTTGAGCTTCTGGAAGGCCTCAGCTGCTTTTACATTCCATTCAAACCCATTCTTCTTCAGCAATTCAGTGAGTGGCCTCGCTATTCCTCCATATCCTTTAACAAATCTGCGGTAATAACCCGCCAAGCCCAAAAATCCCCGCAGTTCTGTGACAGTTTTTGGTTCAGGCCAGCTGATCATTGCCTTCACTTTGGTCTGATCCGCTGCAACTCCACTCCCTGAAATGACATGCCCTAAATAGGATACCTCAGCCCTTCCTAGGCCTGGGCATATTAACCGTATCCGAAATCCGAACCCGAACCCGACCCGAAATAGGCAGTTCGGTTCGGGTATGGATAGTGGGTAATATCCGATCGGATTTAGTTTTCATAAATATCGGATATCCGATCGGGTTCGGGTATTATCCGAATCCGAACGGATACCCGTACTTATCCGATCATAAATAGATTATATATCTTTAAATCTTTAAATCCTTAAATATTTAATTGAATTTGAGGTTTGTGAAGTGTGTAACTAATGAAAGATGTTTTGTAAGATATTATTAGCTTTGTCTACTTGTTTATATCTTTAAAACTTTTGACTTAATCACTTTTACATTCAGTTTTACTCTTTCTTGTATTTAGGATTTCAACATATTTTAGTATTTTTCATTCCGGAAAAAATTAAAAATTTCGGATATTTCTGTCTATTTTGAGTTTTTTTTTTCAATTTTGGATAAAAATCATCAAAATCTTTGGATATTCGGCGCCAAAATCATATTTCGGATATATCCGAAATTAACCGAACCCGAAAGCATCCGATCCGAACCCGACCCGAAATTATAAAATATCCGATCGGATTCTATATGTCTATATCCGAACATCCGAAGATCCGAAGATCCGAACCCGAATCCGAATGGATATCCGAATGCCCAGGCCAAGCCCTTGCAAACGTGCATTTCTTCTCATTAGCATAGAACTTTTTCTTCCTCAGCACATGTAACACCATGCCCAAATGCTTAGAGTGCTCTGCTTCGTTTGCACTGTATATCAATATGTCGTCAAAAAAGACTAAGACAAATCTCCGGAGATATGGTCGAAACATGTCATTCATCACACATTGGAAAGTTGCAGGCGCGTTAGTAAGACCAAATGGCATTACTAGGAACTCGTAATGCCCTTCATGCGTCTTAAAAGCCGTCTTCTCCACGTCAGCTTCCCTTACCCTTATCTGATGATAACCTGATTTCAGATCAAGTTTTGAGAAGATGGTAGCGCCATGTAGCTCATCCAGCAACTCTTCAATCACAGGTATCGGGTATCTATCTGCCACTGTTACCTTGTTCAAGGCCCTGTAGTCAACACAAAACCGCCATCCTCCGTCCTTCTTCTTGACTAGCAAGACTGGGCTTGAAAAGGGGCTAATGCTTGGCCGGATTATCCTTGCTTCTAGCATTTCTTGCACTAGCTTCTCTATCTCATTCTTCTGGGTGTAGGAATACCGGTATGGCCTCACATTGACTTGTGAACTACCTTCCTTAAGAGTGATCGAATGCTCACGATTCCTGGTAGGCAGTAGCTCCTTCGGCATCTGAAATACATCCTGGTATCCTCTCAGCAACTTACTAAGTAAGACCGAATCTGGTGTTGACTTCTCTGCTACTTCTCCTTCAAACAGTGTTGTCAACTCCAGTAAGCATACCAACTCGACCCCTTTCATTCTAAGCTGCAAGGATTTTAAAGAGACTTGTTCCCTGATAAGACTTGGATCTCCTACCAACGTTACCCACTCATCAAGGAGCTTAAACCCGAGCGTTTGTAACTTCCAGTTCACCTTGGTGTCCCCTAGAGTGGCTAGCCATGAATATCCCAACACCACATCCGTAGTACCTAAGTCGAATAACAAAAACTCGTCGACTATCTCAACTCCTTGTACTGCTAAAACCACTCCATTGCACTTTCCCTTGCTGTAAATGATCTCTCCATTACCTACACACACCCCAAACTTGTTTGTGTCTGTCACCTTCAGCTTGTTTTTGAGTGCAAAGTTCTTTGAGATGAAATTACAAGTAGCCCCAGAGTCAATAAGCACCACTACTTGAGCTTCTTGAATCTTTCCTCTCAGCCTCAGGGACTTAGCTGCCTTAATGCCTACCATAGAACAAAGGGATAGCTGTTCCATGGTCTGACCTTCCACATGTTCTTCTGGGGATCCTTCTTCTTCACCATTTCTGGCTTCAACCATCTCCCCTGATTCATCCTCTTCTATCTCCAAACATTTGAATTTTTGCGCCGTTCTGCATCGATGACCCGCAAAATATCTCTCTCCACAATTTCTACACGGGTTGATCACTGATTTACGGTTGTCACGTCCATTAAACGGCCTGTTAGCAGTTACAATCTCTCCACCGGATTTTGGACTCTGTTGAGGGGAGTACTGCGAGTTGGATTGAGCCAAGGTTGGAGCTGAGTAGGTCCTCGCCACAGTTTTGTACCCATAGTTCATCCTCTCCTGCTCTTGTTCTTCAATGATTTTTGCCGTGTCCACAATCTCATCCATTCCTACAGGTCTATACCTCACCACCTGATCCTGTAAACTCTTTCTCATACCATTCAAGAACATACCTTCCAACACTTCAAGAGAGACATGTGGAGCTTCAGCTGACAACTCCTCAAACCTTTCTCTGTACTCTTCTATACCCCCAGTTTGCTTTAACTTCAACAACTGGCTCACAATGGTTCCTCCCCGAGTGGGTCGAAATCTTTTCTTAAGCTTATCCTTGAAATCTTTCCAATCTGTGAGGTCCACCCGGTTCTCATTGTTCCTTATCCATGTCACCGCCGGTCCTTTCATTACAGCCAAAGCAAGCTCATGTTTTTCTTCTTCTGGCGTCTGATTCACACGGAAACACTTTTCAGCCCGAAAAATCCAGTCTTCCGGGTTCTGCCCTTCATACACCGGAAGATCCATTTTCCTACCCGGCGAGTCCAGCTTCTGTCTCGGTGACGCCTCCTTGATCTCCGTCTTTCCACCGTTTGCAGTCTCATCAGGAGACCTAAACGGCAAGGACAAGGCAGGCAGCGGTAAGATTCCTTCAGTTCGCCCTTTTTCTTTAGGCGTCGTGAAGCTCATCGCCTGAACCTGTCTCGCCGTGTAAGCGCTCTCCTCCACCACGGGGGTGTTCTCGCGACTTCCATTTCCACCAAATAAAGCTTTCATCATCTGACCCATTTGGATCTGGTTCTCTTTTGCAATCTGGTTTGTTTGGTTCATGCTTTCCATCATCGTACCCATCATTTTGAACAGATTTGCGGAAGCTTGGTCGAGGTTGTCCACACGCGCCTCCAACGACGCCGCTTCTTCTGCTTGCGACGAAGGTGCCGGAGTAACGTTTGCTTGTGGAGCCATGGCTCTGATACCAAATGATAACCTTGAAGGTTATCGTTGAGAAAAACAGAGAAGGTTGAGAAGAGAAGACTTAGATTGATAGAAGAAAGGAAAGGAGAAAAGAGATTTGTTTTTGTGTTGATGTCTTTGCATAAGGAAACCCTAACATTTGGGGATCCAATAAATACTGAACAGTAGCAATTGAAACGACATAGTTTAATATAAGTCTTCTATTCTCTGTTTAACTCCCGTAAACGACACTTAGCCACTTACAATCTTCTTAACCATCCTTCTGCTACTGCGACCTGACCTCGTGCCCTTCTTCACATAAGCCAGCGGGACACAGAGCCTATCAGTAAGCAGGAGAGGGAGGGTTGTAATCAGGAAAGGTAGGGTTGTAAATGTAACCAGGAGAGGTAAGGTTGTAACCATGACACGTAGGGAAGTAAGGAAGAGATTCATTATCATTCTCTTCTCGAATCCCTACAGCACCAATCTTGATCTTAATCTTTCCTTTACCTACAGGATAATATAATAAGAATCTCTTTGCAACATTAACCCTAGAAGTCTAGAATAAATCGGGATCCCTTATAGATAATCTTAACTCTGTAACAAGCAAAAAAAGGATCAGGAAATATACCTAAACCGTCCTCCAGCTTCTGTTTCTTTGTCGGTGAAGAGTCCGATTGCGACATTGTTATCTATCACGGCTAGGGAAATTCTCAGAAACCGAGCTTACATTTACATATATATATATATATATTGGCTTACAGATAACAAATCCCTAAAAGATATTTTGAAATCTACTGAGGATATATAAATATACTAGGTTCGGACCCGCGCTATAGCGCGGGGGAAAGAATTACGTATATATAATTTTTAACGGATTAGAATATGTTACATTTTAATTTAATTGCAATGCGGTCGATTACGGTAAATCATATATTTGTATAATAAGTTTAAATAAAATAATAAAAGAAATAATCATATATTGAGTTTTGATAGAGTAAAAAACACGATGAAAATTTAAGAGCACGAAATAATATTTATCTATAAATCATTCAATTTGACCATTTTTGTAATAGAATTAAGAATATACTTAAAAATACATACTTACAATATATTTTTTGAAGGACCAACCCGTAACAGAATTCATTTCGTAAAAAACATTATTCATGACTCGTTTTACCATTATAATTGTGATTTTAACAAACAACCTGTGGACTATCTAAAATTTGCATAGTTTGATATATTGTATATATTTTATCAAAAAAAAAATATGTCTCCAAAATTACATCTATGCCTCCAAAAAAATATTTTTAATATTTTAAATTCTAGTTTTTTATATATATATTTGAACCTTTTAATTATAATATTTTGAAACCTTTTAAAATTTTAAATTTGCTCATATAACAATGGTTTTAATATTGGTCATACTAATAATGTTTTGAAATCATTTCCAAAATATTTAACCAAGTGTATTGAATATTTATTATATTTATTATAGGTGGTGGCTGCTTTGTAGCGCGGGTCCGAACATACTCATTGCAGTGTTCATATTCCTGATCAATCGGAATGTCTTTGGGTAATGATCTATAACTTGTCTCAATTTTAATTAATCCGTTTACCTAATTTGAGTACCATTCATAATTAACTATGGTGTTATGGTGGTTGTTTGTTGAATCAATAGATTATATGCTTTCAGCTTTTTGTTTTTTTTTGACTAATTGAAAAATTGGATTAAGGTTTCATACGTTAACCGATACCTTAAGCAGAATAATATATGTGAAGATAATAATAATAACAGTTAGCATGACCATTACATCGACTGTTAGATATTGTACTGTTGTGCAATCAATTGTTGTGTAAATCTATTTTTTATTATGTTTTCTATTTACCTTCAAGATACATGTTCGCCCTTCTAACAACCGTATAAACTATTGACGACGTTGGATTTTCAAGTTCATCAAAAAGGTTAGTCTCTGGACATTATGAAATCGTTCAAATGAAAAAGGTGTATTGTTAGACAATACTTTTGATGATAATTATTAGAAACATGAAATTTCGCTTGCAAACATGGAAATAAGAAATAACAATAGAGATAATGAGTTTGATGTGTAACTTAAAAAAATGAAAATATCTAAATCTTCCAATGAGAAAACGGAAAAGCAGTTTTAAACTCATACTGTAAATCTGTTATGGTAGTATTAGTAGCCATTTTTCAATCGTAAAAAGAGTAGACAAAGAAGATGGTCGAATGTGTGGCAATTAAACAATGTCGACTAAGAATCTTTATATAGGCAAACAATTAGAAGCGTCATTAGGGTATAATATTAGGGCATATTCTTTCAATAAATATAGTTAGTAAGTGTGTAATATTTTCTTAACAAATATTCGATATGTTAAAGTATAATTAAGGGTTGAGAAAACTTTATTTTCTTTTTGAAAATATATTCTCCGAGATTGCAATCTTACCCATTTAATTGTGATATCGTTATAAATAAAAATTCCTAATATGCAGGAACAATACATTAATGCTGAGGTTTTCGAATATTGTTTATTTTTTAAAGAAAACGATTATTTTACCAATGGGTAAGATCCGAAACTTTGTAAAACCCGATTTGTTGAGATCCAATTGCAAGATTTCGGGTAATATTTTTTAATGACCCGACCCGGAAATACAAATTGTACTCCTCTTTTACTAATATAGAGATAACTCATTGAGAGGGTGTTATTGGTTTGTGATTTAAATAAAGTTTTAATGATTTTAAATGTTACGTAGAGTCATTCAATTAAGATTTTGTTAAACTCTTCTAAAGTTTGTGGTTATTAGTTTGTGATTTGTAAGAGTCATTTAAAATCTTAAATATAGGGTTATTGAATTCAGAATTTTATAAAGTCAATGAAAGTTATGTGTTATTTATTTAAAACAAAAAAAAATCTAGGATTGTTAATGAATTCAATTATTATGTTTATTGGTTTATATTTCATATACTTTTATTTACAAAGAAAGTATAATTAAAAATAGAGAGATTGTTGGGTCTTTGAGAGACTATACAATATTATAGAAAAACTAATCAACAAAATTTTTCAAAACTCTCTAGTAATCCTTTAAAATCTTCTAACCTCTAATCCTTTAAAATCTTCTATGATTTTATTCAAAATCATCAAAACTCTTTATAATATTAGAATCCAATAACGCCCGGAAGCACAAAACTTTAGTGAAGGACGTCTTCTTCTCGATCCTGGCCCAGAAGGAACGCTAGCTATATGCTTAATATAAGAGGTTGATGCATATGTCTTCTATAGAAATAAAACATTCTACAAAAGTTCCAGGCTCTTTAACGGCTTCTTCGTCAAGGTTTGTAATCTATATATGTATATAAAGGAATGCATGTATTTACGAGCTGCTTTAAGAGTTTACAAATCGGTGATGCGAACAGCATTGCTACTACTGGCTTTGTCTTCTTTCTTAGCTGATCCTTTCTTGCGTTTCCTCTCAGATTGTGGCTCTTTTGCCTTTAGCTCATTGCACATTGACCTCAAAGATGCAGCTAAGCTATCGTTTCTATGCGCTGCGAATTTTAAAAATAAAAAAAGATATGAAGTTCATAACTAAGAAAACAGTAACATGAAACTGTGAGAGAGAGAAACAGTTTATACCGGAGAGAACAACATCGTCCATGTTTACAACTTTGCGTCCAGCATGGTGAGCAAATAGTTCAAGGTCCTTTGCAACATTTTCTGTTGCTCATAACAAAAAAAAGAAGCAAAACTTTCAGACAAATCTATTTTGGAAACTAAAACACTAAAAAAAAAAGCTAGCTTAGTTGTTGGTGTAGTCCCTCTAGTATGAATCTAATCTTCTACAACAGTTTAGCATATGAACATCAACCAAAATATCCTACCATCTTTGAAAACATTTCACTCTCTACACCAGATATGTAAAGTAGATTCGAATTGATACTCGTCTTTAGATTACATTTGTTGCTTTTCTGTTTGCTATTTCTGTACTTCTATAAACTAACACACACATATTGTCCTAAAAAGAAAAACCTTATTCACCAATGATAAAAGTACAACACAAACCAAAATATGACTCCCAAAACATTGACCACTGTGTTCCCCTGAAGCAAGATCGAGATTCAAAGTGAATAGCAGCAATGAACAGGTTTGAATGAAATGATTTAAATCTTATAAGACTAACATTGCACATCTCATCAATGTAAATACTAAAACTAAATAAACCAGGATTCCTCTAACCAAAGGATCACTTCCAAAGCATATTGACTAATCTGTATTCCCCTGAAGCTGGATGAAGTAGATAGTAATTATAACAGGGTTCTTCGAACCATACGAAAAGGGAGTTGCAGGATTAGTATTCCAATGCATTGAAGCACTGATCTCACCTGCATATTTGAAGGCTAAATCTGATATACATGCCACAACAGATCCACCTATTTCCATTCCATTTTTCTTCGCTGCTCAAACCAAAAAATAAAAAGAACTCAATTCAATCAAATTCAAGTCTTCTCCATCTAATTACTTATCTCAGGAAGAATCTCAATTTCAACTTTGTAGAAAATTAACTACTTCAGTTCAAGTAGCTTCTCGTTACTATGCTAATTCATTAATTCTATTAAAAAAAAAAAAATCGAAAATCCCCAAAATCGAATTCGAAAAATCCAAGAATATTTGATGAAAACATTCAAGCTATGTTCGTCTTCCAGCAGAAGAAACTAATCGGAAGCCAAATTAGAGATTCTCGAACCAACGAATTAGTGGAAATGAAAAAAAAAATTGAATCCTCAATCAAAATCAACACAAATTTTCAAAATCAAATCGAAATAACAGACTCCGGTTCCTAAACCACCGTCGATTCGCGGAAATTTTGAGAATCGAATCCCAATCGAATGAAATAGGAGGAGAAGGGGGGAAAGTTTAACCTTCGGCTTCGGCGATTGAGATCGCGGAGAGTCTGAATCTGTCTCTGATGAGATCATCCATGGAATCTTCTTCGACGATTTGGTCTACCTGGAGATCGCTTCTGTCTTCTCCTCCTTCGACGTCCATGGCGAAGCAAATAGTTAGGTTTTTTTTTTCGCCGGTGAAATTGTTGGGGCTATCCGATAATAATGGGAGAAAAATACGCGGGAAAACAAAAAAATAGTAAAACGCAGCGTTTTCGAGTATCCTCTCCAAAGAGTTCTCTTTAGTTTATGCTTAATGAAATATTTTTTTGAGGATTTTACTAAGCTACAGACCTAAATATATGTCTACTGCATCCACTAATACACTCAAAGGTACGGGCTAAGTAAAATAGCAATGAAATATAAATTCCGACAAGCATGTTCACTACTATATGTGTTTTAACTCTCAAAGAGTTGTTTAGAGAAAAGTATATGTAACAAGATATTTCTAGCCTCATTTCTATATAACGGGTTTTTTTTTTTTTTTTTTTTGAATAATCAAAGAGGTTCTGGGCCGAACCCCATACATCCTCTCAGGCCCGAAACCAAAACATGTTATATGGTTTCGTCTCAAGCGCTACTCGAACCGGCGACCTCTAAACTTTTGCTAGAGATTTTTACCAATTGAGCTATTAGCACTTGGTCTATATAACGGTTTCATTCTTGAAAAAGGAATTTTACAACGTCGGCTTATCAAAACATAGATAATTGATCGATACATGCAGGGGCGGATCTATGTATTAACTAGGTGTGGCACGTGCCCCAGGTTAATTTCTAAATTTTCTTTAACAAACCTATGCTTTTGTTTATTTCTTAGATAATTTAGTATTTAATTCCTAAATAAAATGTTTGACATCCTGTTATTTTTCATTTCCTTTTTTTTTCTACCACTACTCTTATTTGAAACATGTATTCTTTTGATTTAGTAAAAGTTCTTATTAAAATTTCTAAACTAAAAACAGTATTTGAGATATTTATGATCATGCGTGTAAATTTAAAATCAATGAATCTAATAGTTTCATATAAATTATTGATATTGTAGTAACTTTTTGGATTCAATTTTCAAACTAAATGATATACAATCATATATTAGCTTAATATATAAAAAATTTAACGTTAAATTAACATATAATGAAAATAAAATTAGTTTGACCAAAAAAATTTTTTATCTATGTTTAGTTTGTGCACCAGTCAAAAAAATTATCTGAATCCGCCACTGGATACATGTGCTAGTAATCTATATAGGATTTAGAAGACAAAGATTAGGATGTTGTTGTTGTTTAGCAACACAATCTTTCATAGAATTGCTCTCTAGGATAAAAAAGACAACTTACAATCTTCAAAGTCCAATCACCTAATAAGTTGGAAATGTCTTATTTTCTATAACGCCTAAGTGTTTGTATTTTGGTCTAATAATATAAACAGAAGATATTTTTATTTCCCATCAAAATATATAAGAGGTTGAACATAATCCATGTCACGCTCTCGATCGTCTTCGACTAAATGAGAGGTCGGAGTAACACAATCGCCTCTGTGGCAACGTCTACGATTTATTAGAAAGATTCCTCTGCGATAAGTAATAAAGAATAATAAAAAAAAAATGGTCTCGTACACGGAACCTCTTACCACCAAACGTATTGACCATTGAGTCCTCTGTCCAGATACATTTCGAAAGACCAATATCTTCAGGGTATAATCGTCACTCTAGTCTTTATCTACTCATATAGCGCCACGTGTCGCAATCTTACACCCTCAATATCAGACGGTGGTGAGAGAGGTCAAGTTTCTTTTCGCTATTCAGAAATTGGTTTACTTCTCTAAACCGATAATGAAACCATGTTTTAATTTTATCAAAAAAATAGCCAATTACGTACCTTTTTACTGAATACATCAAATTACATCCACTAATTTCATAAAAATGCATAAGAAATTGGTGAAATACCGAGTTATCACTAATTAATTTCGGGTCGGTTGGTAGATTCCGTAAACCGAATTGGTTGATTAAGTCGGTTAACCTCGTGTGATATTTTTGTTAAAGCTGAGAGTGGAAGTATTAATAGCGTGCACGATGGTGCACCGAACAAGTGTTATAGACTCGCACCGTGTAAAGAAAAAATAAAAGACTCGGACAGGAGAAAAAGAGAGAGATAAGGGGAGGGTGAAAGATAAAAAAAAACAATTAAGCACACAACACCATATCCATCTGTTTTTTTTTCTTCTTTCATTTCTCTCTCTTCTTCTTCCTCTTCTTCTTCTTCTTCGACCTTTCTCATTTTGATCCTGTGTTACGCTTTAATCGAACTCGGTGAGTTGCTTTTTCACTTAATCTCTGTAGTCGAATTCTTTGAGAGTGATTCTTGGTTGGTTCTTGGGTTTGTTCTTGAAGCTTATGGCTTTGTATTTGTTCGAAAGCTAGGGTTTTATGTTTTTGTGGTTTAGTCGGAATTTGTGCTATTGAACAAGTCTCAGATCGCGAATTGTGTAGAGATTTTACTTTTTTTTTGCCCAAAAAAAGTCAATTCCATTTTTTCATTTCTGTTTAGTGTTTCGCTTTGTCTCGTCTTCTTTTGATCGGAGCTAAGTTGAATTTTAACGTTCTGAGCTTACTTGTGTTTGGGAGTTCACTTATCTTAAGTCTTTTTTTGTGCTTTACTCAGTATTCTCAGCTTTTGTAAATCGAATGCAAGCTTATCTTGTCAGCTGATGGTTCTTTGTTTGAAGTCTTGCTAAATCAATATCATATTTTGTGAATTCTTTATATTTTGCCTGAATTTTTCCCTTGGAGTCTTGAGCTTCATTCGGTAACAGTTTTATGAGTATATAAGTATAACTGTTTCTTCAGGTAGAGTGATGTGATTGTTTACTAATTCCTTTTTCTTATGTTGGAATTTTTCTTGATAATGTAGGAAGTCATGGCTATGGCCACAAGGGTGCTGGCTCAATCTACTCCACCGTCTTTGGCCTGTTACCAGAGGAATGTCCCCTCACGGGGATCTGGTAGATCGAGAAGATCGGTGAAAATGATGTGTAGTCAGCTACAAGTGTCTGGCTCAAGAATGCAAGGATTCTTGGGATTACGTGGAAGCAATGCCTTAGATACTCTAGGAAAAACCCGTCAAGATTTCCATTCCAAGGTGCGGCAGGCAATGACTGTGCCCAAGGGGAAAGCCAGCCGGTGTACCACGAAAGCAATGTTTGAAAGATTTACTGAAAAAGCTATCAAAGTTATTATGCTTGCTCAGGAGGAAGCTAGAAGACTTGGCCACAATTTCGTGGGAACCGAACAAATTCTTCTAGGTCTCATTGGCGAAGGTACAGGTATTGCTGCTAAAGTTTTGAAATCCATGGGGATAAACCTTAAAGATGCACGTGTGGAGGTAGAGAAGATTATTGGAAGGGGCAGTGGATTTGTTGCTGTTGAGATCCCATTCACTCCTCGTGCCAAGCGTGTTCTTGAACTCTCACTAGAGGAAGCTCGCCAACTTGGTAACTACTCCCTTCCTCTATATAGCAAGGTTTTTGCATCTGTATCTGGAGAGTCTCTATTGTCAAGTGTATTAGTATGGACGGTACCACCTATTCCCATGTCTTAATTACTTGTGTGAATCTCAGGTCACAATTACATTGGATCCGAGCACCTTCTGCTTGGGTTGCTACGTGAAGGTGAAGGTGTTGCAGCTCGAGTCCTTGAGAATTTAGGTGCTGATCCTAGTAATATTCGCACTCAGGTAAAGTAGTCATCTTATGTGGTGAACTGAAAATTTCAATTTTTTATACGTTTTTGGAATTTATATATAAAAACCCTAACTTGATTGAATTGGATGGCTAGGTGATACGCATGGTAGGTGAGAACAATGAGGTTACTGCTAACGTTGGGGGAGGAAGCAGCAACAATAAGATGCCAACTCTTGAAGAGTATGGAACAAACTTAACGAAATTGGCTGAGGAGGTAGCTATTTGTTAACCTGACCATGTCTGATTTTCTTGAAGAGATCTTAAGATCAATTGAGACTTAATCATAATCTTTTCTTTTGACCTTAGGGTAAATTGGACCCAGTTGTTGGAAGGCAGCCGCAAATAGAACGTGTGGTGCAAATTCTTGGCAGGAGAACCAAGAACAACCCATGTCTTATTGGAGAACCTGGTGTTGGTAAGACAGCTATTGCTGAAGGACTTGCGCAGCGTATTGCCAGTGGAGATGTTCCTGAAACCATTGAAGGGAAGAAGGTAAGCATGATGTTTGTCTCAGTCTTGTTGACAAGCTTGCGATTTAAATTAGTCAGTTGTTATGAATCAGTGTGAGATCCAATCTTATTTTCGTTGATTTTAATTCTTCCGTTACATGTAGGCATACATTTCATGTGTCACAGAGTCCAATTTTCTTGGTTAATTGTGATTCTTTCCATGCCGAAAGGGTAAAAAAACATGTTGCTGCTGCAAAAGTTGTGAAACAAAGAATATATCTAGAGATTATATCCAGTGAATAATATGCTTTATATGAATTCTGGTTTGTGTAGATTAACTTTCTGAGACTTGTTTATATGAAAAAAATAGCCATACTGATTTTTTTTTTTTTATCGTAATAATATGGAGTTTAGACTCAGGTCACCCTTAATTTCCCAAGATTATGTTGGGTAGTGCAACAGTGATCTGATGGCTCTTGCGTTTTCGTTGTTTTTGACTTCAGGTTATAACACTTGACATGGGTCTTCTAGTTGCTGGAACAAAATACCGTGGAGAGTTCGAAGAGAGATTAAAAAAGCTTATGGAGGAAATAAGACAGAGCGATGAGATCATCTTATTTATCGATGAAGTGCATACTTTGATTGGGGCTGGGGCAGCGGAAGGTGCAATTGATGCAGCTAACATTTTAAAACCAGCTCTAGCTAGAGGTGAATTGCAGGTAATTATTCTTTTTGATCCGTTTTACATGACAATGCTTTGCAGTTTTTGTAATTACCATCAGTAATCTGACTATTGTATAATCATGACAGTGCATTGGAGCGACAACATTAGATGAATACCGAAAGCACATTGAGAAAGACCCTGCATTGGAAAGAAGATTCCAGCCGGTGAAAGTACCTGAACCTACTGTGGATGAAACTATTCAAATCCTTAAGGGTCTGCGAGAGCGATATGAAATTCACCACAAGCTTCGTTACACTGACGATTCTTTAGTAGCAGCTGCACAGCTGTCATACCAGTATATAAGGTGGCTCTTCTCGCAAATTACTTGTTAAAGTTTATGCAAGTGTGTCATCAGTTACTTATATCTGACTGTCCTTTCATTCCAGTGACCGTTTCCTTCCTGACAAGGCAATTGACTTGATCGATGAAGCTGGTTCTCGGGTTCGACTTCGTCATGCACAGGTGTGGTGAAATCTCATGCCAGGTGCCTGTTGTTTACTATTTCATTGGTTGTATCATAGTTTAACTTGATTGTTTATGCAGGTCCCAGAGGAAGCTAGGGAGCTTGAGAAGGAGCTTAGGCAGATAACAAAGGAGAAGAATGAAGCTGTCCGTGGACAAGACTTTGAGAAGGTACTTATCGTTTGTATAACTTTATAAATTTCGTTTGGGCAATAAGATATCTTATGAGATGTAAATTTCGTTTCAGGCTGGGACACTTCGGGATAGAGAAATTGAACTCAGAGCCGAGGTATCTGCTATCCAAGCAAAAGGCAAGGAGATGAGCAAAGCAGAGAGTGAGACCGGTGAGGAAGGTCCTATGGTCACTGAGTCAGACATCCAACACATTGTATCTTCATGGACTGGTATTCCTGTAGAAAAAGTATCAACCGATGAGTCTGATCGCCTTCTAAAGATGGAAGAAACCCTCCACAAACGTATCATAGGCCAAGATGAAGCTGTCAAAGCCATAAGCCGAGCCATTCGCCGTGCCCGTGTCGGACTCAAGAACCCTAACCGTCCGATTGCTAGTTTCATATTCTCCGGTCCAACTGGTGTTGGGAAGTCTGAGCTTGCCAAAGCTTTGGCAGCTTACTACTTCGGTTCTGAAGAAGCTATGATTCGTCTAGATATGAGTGAGTTCATGGAGAGGCACACTGTCTCCAAACTTATTGGTTCACCTCCTGGATACGTTGGATACACTGAAGGAGGTCAGCTAACAGAAGCGGTTAGACGTCGCCCTTACTCAGTGGTTCTGTTCGACGAGATCGAAAAAGCCCATCCAGATGTTTTCAACATGATGCTTCAAATCCTTGAAGATGGTAGATTAACAGACAGCAAAGGAAAAACAGTCGACTTCAAAAACACACTTCTGATCATGACATCAAACGTTGGAAGCAGCGTGATTGAGAAAGGAGGAAGACGTATTGGGTTCGACTTAGAGTACGATGAGAAAGACAGCAGTTACAACAGAATCAAGAGCCTTGTAACAGAGGAGCTGAAACAGTACTTCAGACCAGAGTTCCTGAACAGGCTAGACGAGATGATTGTGTTCAGACAGCTAACAAAACTGGAAGTGAAAGAGATCGCAGACATACTGTTGAAGGAAGTGTTCGAGAGACTGAAGAAGAAAGAGATTGAGCTTCAAGTGACAGAGAGGTTCAAAGAGAGAGTAGTAGACGAAGGTTACAACCCGAGCTATGGAGCGAGACCATTGAGAAGAGCCATCATGAGGCTGTTAGAGGATAGTATGGCAGAGAAAATGCTTGCGAGAGAGATCAAAGAAGGAGACTCAGTGATTGTGGACGTTGATGCTGAAGGAACCGTGACAGTGCTGAATGGTGGAAGTGGCACTCCCACTACTTCCTTGGAGGAGCAGGAAGATTCTCTCCCTGTCGCTTAAATAAAAAAAAGGCAAAGTGTGTTCCGCATCTTTTGCTTTTGGCCCCTAAATGAAATTATGGCAAGAGAATTTGGGGGGTTTTCTCAATATACATTTTCTAAATATGAAAAAAAAATTGTAATGTATAGATGACATTTGTGTAGTTTATTTTTCAATGCTGTTTTAAGGACTTCTCTCTGGTGCCAATATTTTGCTTCCACCTCAAAAAAAAAAGCCTCCTCTTTTAAGTGATAGACGATGATTAGGTTTTGTTTCTTGTTCCTATTAGCCGCGTTCTCGGAAAAGCTACCTCCTTCAAAGTATTCTTAGCTCACCACTGTACGACGATTAACAAGAACAAAGAACCATAATCGAGAATCTCGTTTCCTAGCCACCTAAACTTCTTACTAAAGAGTAAATCTAGAATTTTGCATCCCCACCTAATTTTAACATTCATTTTTGTCGGTAAATATTATATATATGCCTATTAAATTTGAAATTTTTATCTGTCAAATTTCAGTGATCTTTCTTTTTGGTATAAATTAGCTAGCGTATGCAATTTTTTTTTCTTTTGCTATTTATTATTTTGGTTAAGACAAAGAAAACTTAAATGAATGTTAGATATAAATACGTAAATATGTTTATTTAATGTCGAAAGTCAAATAATGTTTTTTAAACATGTGTAAGAAAACTGTTCTGTATAATTAACAATTGATACTAATTTTGAAAAACCAAATTTTGTATAAATTAATAAAATTTGAACCATTGCTCATAGCTAGTTGTTATCGAAAAGGGGGACTTCAAATTAGTTACGTTAACATACATTAGCTAAGATTATTACAACTAAACTAAAACAAAAAGTCACAATCCAATAGAATACATTGCTAATTGATAATTATCTATTCCATATATACTAAAGGAAAAAAGAAAGTGAAACTGATATAACATAAGGATTAAGGATTAAGAGAAAACGTTTGATATTGAAATTGGTAATTAGTGAAGAAGAAAGCGATGTCACATAGTGGAACCTAGCTAGTGCCAGTTGCATAGGTACTATTAGATCTTTCTCAGATTTTGCATAGATTCTTGAATTGAATGGAAAAAAAACAAATGAGGAGTCGTACCATTACAAAACTCTTTTATCAGTTTTATAATTTTTCATAAACGTCTTTAATTGTTTTATTTTGCATTGTAGGCGATGCAAATAAATATGTTATCTCTCGTATCATGCGGATAGAGACACTTCTATGCATATCTATATATCGTATATATTGAAACGTACGTTACTCTATCTCTCTAGCTAGGTTGGTGTATTTGTTGTGTTCTTCTTACTATAATTAAGAAGATCAATACTTTAAAACATAAAACAGTTCGATCATAGCTAGTGAGGAGAATAAGCCATAGCTCAATACAAAGCTTTATATTCTTGATTGTATCCTTCACATGAATGTACAAAATTAAGTATCTTATACGGATCGTCGAGAATCAAAATTATGAAGAACAAAAAAAATCGAGCAGTTTTTTTTAGTCGAATAACACTTTACATACATGATTATGTAGATTTTGCTATTTGATTAATTATACGTATTTAATAATTAACGAGTGACAAAATCCTTCGTCTTTTTGTAATTGGTCTCATGAACCTATTTTATGATTAAATGCAATCTTGAATATTCAAAAGAAGTACTAAATAAAAACCAGCCGCTAATTAAATGCGTTGGATAAAGAATTAAAGGTTTTATTCAAACTTCAAAGTAATTGATTAATTAGAAAAATGAAGCAAAAAGAGTGATATTAGTGAAGATTATATGATGCCAATAAATGTATAATTTCCTCATCGGGATGGGATTAGCATGCATGATTATTAATTTACAAGTCTCTTGCGGACCTTTGACGTGCAAAAAATGTCAAATGCAATGATTTTTTTTTTTTCCGATTAAGAATGTCAAATGCATTAGATTAGGTTTTAATATGTATCCTGTTTCTTTTTTTCCTACTCGAAAGTCTAAAAGTAATCTCAAATTGTGAGTCATAATATAAACTCCATACAACCATAGATGTGATTATAAAATAATTGTTTTATGCTAAGAAATCAGTTTCATTAGAAGCATTTGGTAGAAAATGAACTATATCGTATATATCGAAACAAAAAAGGGGTATTTATGATTATTTGTCTTCTTTGTATACCGAACGGTATCATCGGATTGGACTTCACACCTTATTATTTACATTTTTTTTTTTGTTTTGTCTTTTGTCTTTTTTTGAAGAGGAAATTTCCAACGTCGATCCAAAGTGGGAAACAGACAAAATGTTTTTTTTTTTTTTTTTTTTCGTTTTCTTTACAAAAATGGACAAATTTTTTTGTATTACGGATTACGGTATCCACGTACATATTATTTGATGAGAGCCTTACGTTTTGAAAACAGTGAATATAGTTCTTATATGTTAGCTGGAGCGGTACGTTTTGGAATCTGATTGCACTATATGATTGATAAAGGCTTATAAGGTACAACAAGCTACAAGCCTTTGCATGAGTGTCTCACTTCTAAATATAGCTCTTTTAGTTTTAGGGCCACAAGGTTTTGAATGCTTGCATTGGCTGGTCAACAACAACAACAACACAAATGCATCAAATCTGGTTTAGTGAACATTTTCCTCGAGCTAGGTTCAACTACTACCCACGTTGGTCCTTCCTTTCTTTCATTTATTGGGTTTCGTTGATAAATACCTTTTTATTGGCACTTACTACTATTATACTTTTATCCATTTATTGTTTTCACGTTATTAGGTTTTATCATTCCTTTAGTTATCTTTATAAAGATATATTATACCAAGATTGAATTGAATTTATTGCATTGAGTGTACCGTGGAAGAGATAATTAATTTTTTTACCAAATTTTATATATTGTATGTTTCGTTATCTTTCATTATATATTGAAACATTATTTATCATCTAAGAACGATGATAGATGATCATATATAATCACAAAATTCATCAATATTTAGTAAAAAATTTAATTATCACTACCACGGTTACTCAATGCAATAAATTCAATATACAATCAGTCTTGGTATTATATATCTTTATAAAGTTCATATAATAGAAATTACTCAGCCCGAAATATATACTGATATAATCTCTTGTCAAATAATAAAAATGTATTTTCAATAAATGTACAGGTGGTCCATAAAATACTTTTTTGATTTTTCTTCTGTTTCTTCCTTGTCTCTTTGAATAGTAAAATACAAAAAAAAATTGCTTATATATACCATTTCAAAGTTCTTAATCTCCCACAAACAAATAAAAGAAAAGAACACTCTCTCTATTGACAAAGATCATAAAGAACTCAGAAGCTTCCACTCTTAAAATGGCAACTTTCTCTTATTTCCAAAACTACCCTCATTCTCTTCTTGACCCTATTCTCTTCCCTACACCCCCTAACTCCTCTATTGGTCTCACTGGTTTCATCGATCAGAATGTTCTCCATTCACTGCCAGACGTTTCGAAAATTGAAGACACTTCCGCGAACCCTTTTCTTGATGAGTATTATAATGTTGACAAAACCGAAAGCTATGGTTTCAAGAAACAGGCCAACACCAACAAAACAACAACCACCGGTTCTTCTTCTTGCGACCAGCTGAGCCAAGGACCAGCGACCACGGCCATTAACGGTAAAAACCGTCGGAGAAAGATCAGAAACGTTTCTAGCTCAAAGGTAAGTCGTTAAATCAACTTGTAATGTATATATCAAGTATGGGATATGGGATTGTGATAAGACAAAAACATAAATGTTGGGGTGGTTTTGTGGATTAGGAAGGAGTAGAGGGAAGAAAAACCAAAAAGCCGAGAATAAATGATTCCCCAACCAACGTCAAAGAGAAGAAGGGAAGCAAAGAAGAGCCTCAAAAAGATTACATTCACGTTCGAGCTAGAAGAGGCCAAGCTACTGATAGCCACAGCCTTGCTGAGAGGGTAATTTAGTCATTTTCTTTAAATATTACTTTCTTCATTAATCATGTTTTCACTAAAAGACATCTTAATTAATATTTTGCTTAATCAAAAGGTGAGAAGGGAAAAGATAAGTGAGCGGATGAGGATACTTCAAAAGCTAGTCCCGGGCTGTGATAAGGTTAGCTAGAGTCTAGAGACTATCTTATTATTTAGGAATTGATTGATGTTTAAGTTTTTATAATATTTCAAGAAAATGTTTCTTATGAAATGTGACTTTGAAAACGATTAGGTAACAGGAAAGGCCCTCATGTTGGATGAGATTATAAATTATGTTCAGACCTTGCAGAATCAAGTTGAGGTGCATTTTATATATATACATATTTATTTATACTCTTATAACGTTTTAATTAGGTCCTTTAAATATAACATATGTAATTTTTATTCTTTTCGGTTTCACTAGTTTCTGTCGATGAAGCTAGCCTCTACAAGTCCGGTGGTCTATGACTTTGGCTCCGACCTTGACGGCCTCATACTTAGATCCGAGGTACTTCATCTACACTCCATCTCTTAATCCGGTTAACGATAAACCAGTTCATGCATTTTAATGATCTTGATGAACAGATGGGATCACCAGAAGTAGTAACGTCTTATACGAATACAATGCCAACAACTACACCTATCTTCCCTTCATTGTTGGATAACTCTATCGTACATACACATGCACAGCTCCAGGTTTTTAATATTCTCTTTAAAACTGATTAATTTTTAATATATTAAGGAGAATTAATAAATACAAGAATCAATGATTGAACACTAATAGATAACGATGAGTTGATTTATAATATAGGAAGAGGGAGGAGAAGAAAGAGACGAGTTTGTAGACAGAAGTGGGTTCAACGACAACAGCTTCTGTTCTTTCCCTTGATTTATTATTACATGTCGAGTCCACGACACACAAAACACAAAAGCCTGCTTTCGTGAGTTTCTTCTCTGGTCTTGTCTCTTCAACTAACCTAATTATTATTACAATTATTACTACTTTAAAACTCTTCTCATAATTATTGCTTTTTTTTTTATATAGGTTTGGTTTAATCTCCTCCCTATATGCACGGAGCTAGGGAATAAAATCTACGTAAACCAGATGGATGGATGCATGGTAGTCAAAGTGGATGTATGTAATTATTTGTTCCTTTTTTTTATAGAGAGTTTAAAGAAAATAAAAGTACTTAATTATATTAGAGATTAAATGCTCATGTTTTTCCCTATTTGGCCCGAGAGTTTGAACATTAATCATTCTTTAAAGCAATGGATAAAGAGAATGATGATGAGGCAGAGGCAAATGTAATGCTGTAAACGAAGAAGACCTCTCACATAATTTAATTTTCATTGTTTTGTTCACTCATCAAGTGTGCTACTCTTTGTATAAGTTCCTGTTTTTTTCACAACTTGTGTGTCTTGTTACGTAAAAATTTCCTCCATTGTTGGTAGATGTAATCAAGCACACTCATTAATATTTCACATACATAAAGTCATATAATATAAATATGCGGGGAAAAATAAATTTTAACATATAAAAATCATAATGATTCGTTTTCTGTCAATTCATTTGTTGAGAAATGTCAGGAGAAAAGATTAGATTTCTCTTTATGAGAACTCTTTTTTAATGTACTGTTGAATAGTTTTGGTCATGCTTTTCTGCTCTCACTTGTCACACACACATTGATAACTCCCATTCCTATGTCTTTTCATTATACATATATTATTTATGTATAATAGTTACATATATGATACATACATGTTCTAAGTTTTAGTTTAAAGTATGTCTAATATATCAAAATCGTTAAAAGAAAATAGAAAAAAATATCAAACACTGTTTGTGATTGTGAATATGATGATATGCTGTAATTTTCAATATTAGTTGATACTCTAACATTTTCAAGTAGTGGTAATGAAATCTTCAGTTTATTCAATTTGTACGATTTATTTGTATGCAACCGCTCAAAATAATATAAACATTAATAACCTATTTTATTCTATAGATTTTCATTTTTTGAAGTTTAACCACATTTAAACAGAAAAAATAATAATTAAGTTAGACTAATAGATATGAATTATGATAGACAAAATTAAATAATATAGCACATATGTTAGCGAAATGGATAGAAACTTGAAACTATCCAAACCACAAATGATATCTAGTAGCAAAACTTGTATCCTCATCTTTAATTAGTCTATCTCATCAACACATGCAAAACCCCTTCCTACCAATATCGGAAGAAGAACAAAGTGATAAGTGAAGATTAAGGATGGACAATGTACGTAGCTCAACAATGGTACGATTAATTTATTGAGACTTCAAGATATGGAAAAGTCTAAGAGACATATCAAGACTTCATATAATATGCCATAGTTTAATTTGGGTGATGATCAAAGTTTTGACATGGAACAATCGATTTTGCTCGGTCTTTATTACATATATTCAATACAAAACTTGTCAGAGTTGTTTGAGTCTATGTCAGTCCTTAAAGAATCAAAATTCCTAGTTTGAGTTTTATCTATGAGAAGTAGATTAATTGTCTTAAGATTCTTTACGATCAACAGTAAAGCTAGAAACAACAATTTTTTTGTTTTTTTTTTGTTTTCTTTTTAAATATGTAAAGCTTCTTCTAATACTTGCTTTTTTCCCGAATTATAGGATCATCTCGTTTGGTGGAATCCATTTAATACTTTAGTGTTTCCATGAAGGGTTATAGGTATTAGATTATGGGTTTCCGACTTAAAACTAATTGGCAATGAGTGGAGAGGTTCATATCTTATATATTTCACTTAAAATTATACTCAACTTCTAATGTGGAATATTGTTATTTCTAATACGCCTCCTCGAGATGATAGATCTTCTAACCATAAATCTGGGTATGTTCGGACATGAATCGGTGAACCAACTATTAGGCCGGATTGATTGTGGATTGGGTTGAGTATGTGCGGACCGGAGTCTGATATCATATTAGATTATGAGTTTCCAACTTAAAACTAATTGACAATGAGTGGAGAAACCCATAATAGGATTTTCTTCTAGTGCTAAGCTAATCACTATATACAAATTAGGAAAACCTACCATTGAAGCATGCTTTTATCAAGATAATCTATAACAGAATAATTGTGTGGACTTCGAATTGACTCGTAAAGTAAAAATGTAGAATATATGGAACTATAAAAAAATGCGATGATGATGACACGTTTTATGCGAGAATAATTGTAAGTTCAAGTTACCCGAAGGGGTCTCCGGTGTTAACACACGCCTTTATGTGGGAGATTTACAAAAAAACTAAATGAATATAAAAATCCAAAAAACAAAAATAATGTAAGTATATATAAAAGCAACCATTCAAAGGCATGATTAAATGAGCAGTTCGGCCGTTAGTCGTCCAAAGATTTTGCATCTATCTGTGTCTGTCTAGTCCCATCTCTTTTATTACACTTACTTTTTTCTTTGTTTGCATCATATGTATCTAACTTCATTTCCATGTGTCTTCAATGGTGGCCGGTGATTTTATCAAATAATTTAATATATTAATTTTATCCAAATTTTATGAATTTTGAAATTAACAAAAATATATTATATTTGTTTTTATATTTATCGTGATATATAAATTGGACGTAAAAGTACGTACACAGTTCGAATTGTGGGAATGAAGCCCTATGCGACAGGCTAAGTCTTAGTTGGTAATTCGCTAGATCACTGTTTGTAGTACACCCCCAGACCCAGAGTCATCCAAGAACTAGATTAATCAATCACTCAAGTTCAAAATTTGTAAGAAAAGTAATATGGTTTGGACATTTCAAACACAACATTGAACAACCACCAGAATACATTTCTTTAGAAACCTATATATCATATACAGTTTTGGATGGCCATTTCTTTTACAGTCGTAGCCAGTCTCTGGAACACCTTCAGGTTATGTCCTACTTTTCCCTGCAATAGAGACAAGTTGGGTCGCCACCACTTTCAGCACTAACACACGTATATATCATGGAAACATTCTAATTAATCGACTATGCTACCTCATTTAGTAATGCAAGCCTCTCTATGGTAGGTGATAATTTGCCATAGAGATCTGTAACGTCTTTTTGTACATGGGATTTTGCACCATATGATCCCTTTTCATTTGAGCTGACGGATCTGCAGATGTCAAAGTGTTTAGCATAAAACCCGAGATCAAACCGTACAAACATAGTAAATTTCTTCACCTAATAACAACATTTAAAGATATCAATTGTTGAAGATATTGTTTGTATACCTATCTTGGAGATGGATCAGGGTAATATTTAGTACATGCTCGGCAAGTTGTAGTAACAAGGTGATTAATTGGTCCCTGTTACCCACAATTTGGCACATTTCAACCATAGCTATGTTTCTCCTGAGGTTAGTAACAAGCCACAAACAAATTAAAAAAAGTGGTCAAGCGTCTTACTAACCACTGATAAGGAAAAAGCTGGAAAATTCTATGTGAATAACCCACATATGCTTTGGCATATGCACGCAAAGAAAGAATTTCACTAACCTTTTATGTATGTTGTCGGACGGTGTGACATATTCTTGGCAATCACACATCGTGATGATCGCATCTACATCTTGTCTAGAGAGCTCGTTTATGTCTCTAATCTGCCAATCATAAATGCAACTTCAAATATATTATATATATAAAAATAGAAGAGTTTAAAACATGTAAAGAGTAGGAATTAGGAAAATATACCTTATGAAGAAGCAAGGACTTTTTCTCTGCTGCTCTCTCGAGGGAATCAGTCACATGCGAAAGAAGAGATGCAAGCAACATCAATGTGGGTTGCCGTAGTTTAGTGGAACTATCAAAAGAATCATCTGAAGCCTGGGAGGAGGAGTGGTTGTGGACAAAGAACATGAGTATTTACTTGTACTACAACGTTCAAACAACTGAATAATGAAAACGTGGAAATAAGAAACAGAGGGAAATGGCTACAATATTACCTGCAACCTCAGAGAATTTTTGGTCACCAGAAAATATAAGTAAGAAGTCAAGCTAAATCGCAATTGAGACAATTTGAGCTCTGATCCCTTCTGTCCACCAGATGATAAACAAAAATGAGAAACCCCACAAATATAAGGATTCAAGGATTAGATGACAAGCTGCCAATAATATATGAAAAACTATATACTCGTCCATGTACCTGAACTACTTGTCCTGCCTGTGATGATATCAATTTAGTGGGGGAGACGATGAAAAGCTTGCTCATCATATCAAAAAGCCCTTGAACAAATCCATATCCATCGTTCTCTTCAAAAGGCCAGACCTACAAAACAAGCAAACTCACTTTCTAGAAACCGCATCTAACAAGCATGTGGGATTTTATGAGCCCTTTTGAAGATGCAATTGTGAAAAGAAAAGCAAAAAAAATTAAGAAACTATAGCTCGCAAAAGAATTACCTTGCTCAATATTCCTACTGCAAGAACAATTTGCTCCATCAATAAATCATCTGCTTCAGTAAAGTCTTCACGAAGAAGTTGGTCAAAAAGAAATTGATGTCCTTTGATAAATTCAATGACTTCACGAACAATTTTATTCCTCCCCTATCAAACGCCCAGGTGAAAAACGAAGAATGAGGATCATCATAGTTCACATTCCAAGAATATCAGTTACCCAGAAAAATCGACAACAATGACTTGCACTAATTAACCGAATAGGTGAAAAAGAAATCTAGATCATACAGATCAGGTGTTAGAAAAACCAATAAGAACATACTAACTGTCCCAAAATTTACAAATGTTTCTGCATCTCAGTATTAGATTGTTATGTCTTGCAAACATATTGCGTATGTCATCGAGTGATTATACTTGTATAAGTTGGAACGTTTGAAGACACTCCCTTATTTCCTACTTCTACTTGTTAGAGGCATCAAAGATGTTTACTAGAGCAAAGAAATTCAGTGACATCATTCAAGTTTCTAAAAGACACAAACAACACATTAGTTTTAGTGAAGCGCAATATACTAATTTTCTATTTCAAACAAACTGAACTCAGTGTCTGTCATTCAATTTTAGAACGTCTGTATCACTCTCACACAACGCAAATAAATCACAGGTCTAAATATAAAAACTGTAAAGTCTATAAAAGTCCCTAACGATCTGGAAGATAGTGTTTAAATGGCAAGTCATGCTCACTGAACCAGGCCAATCACTATGGAATAGAGTTTTAAATTAGCAATGCAAAAGATCATAAAGAAAAGGTCATCTAAAGAAACACAGCTGACCTCAAAAAATTCAGAGGTCTCAACCAATGAAGTTAGAGCAAACACCAATCTTAGGACAGCAGTGATTATAGTTCGTTGCTTTTGCACATCATATCCTACA